ATAGAAGCCTTTTTCCTTACCAGAGCTGTCATGGATCCTGGATTGGTGGATGCTGGATTGGTGGGTCCTGGATTGGTGGATGCTGGATTGGTGGATCCTGGATCCCTTCATCCCTGGGGTGATGAAGGGGCACATGCTGCTGAGAGGCTCTCTCTGTCACCTGTGCAAAAAGCGTGAACTGTAGGTGTGATGTCAGGCCACGGTTCTGTTCCAGGAGGAACAACAGCTGTGGCTGTTACAAGATCAAAACTGCAGTTACATTAGGGCTGGTGACACTGCCTGGCTTGGCAGAAGGTCTGACAAAGCCTTCCAGGATGTAATGTATGGGATAAACTGCCTTCCCCAGCGAGGCTCAGGCCTTTGAATCCAGGCCCTGTAAAACAGCAAGGGCTTTATTGACTTGGTAAAAAGGGAACTCCAAGGAATCTCCTCTGTGCAGGGGGATGGATTTGTGGGAAGCACAGTTACAGTGGAGGGCTCAGAGCTGCTCTGCACCTGGGGTGTGTGGTGTGGTGGCCAGGCAGGGCTCAGCTGCTGCTCCCAGGGAAAACAGGGCCATTAAGAAGAATTACGATGGACAGGAGGGTCCTTTCTCCCATTTAATGTATTCCCGCATTTCCTGGCCCCTGGGCAGCTTGCAGGCTGGGAATGGCAGTTGGGAGCTGCAGAGGATGACTGAGCCATTAACAGGCGGAATCTGATGCTGATAGAAATGAATGCATTTCATGTTGCGAGGCTCTGCTTTGGTCTCCTGAGGATCTGTTACTCGGAGTTCTGTGGCTCAGGCTGTATTTGTTACAAAAGCAATACAAAGGGAGAGGCCCTGTGGTTTCAGAGGCTCGGCTGGTCTCTTCTCTGCGAGTATCACTCCAGCTTCTTCTGTATCAGATGTTATTCCAGGGAAGCTGTGAGGATGTGAGATGGGATGATATCTGCAAACAGAGCTGCAGTCCACGGTATCCTCAGAAACTGATACTGTTTTTCAGGAAAAGCCAAGTTCCAGTAGATAATTTTTCATTATTAGGCTTTCACTGAGGGATATAGAGAACCAAAAGGATTTGGTGGGTCATTAAAATAAGTCCAGATCTGCCACTGTGGGGTTTTAAACACAGCCTGAAATCCTGGTCCCTCTGAAGGGGCCTCGTTTGCCTCCTTCGGGCCCCACTCTAATTTCATTACTGCTTTCAGAAGGGAAAGGACTTCACTGATTTTAATTTTGCAGTGTTTCTTTTAGGATGCAGACACAGAAATATTCAATTTCTTTCACTGAGGGTTCATTAACGGAAGCTCACTCAATGTGCACCCCTTCCACGGTGGAGCATTCACGTGATAAATTTAATTTTCCAAGCAGGGGAGGTTGTGATGATCCCTCAGATGTTGTGAGGGAAAACATTGGTGCTTCTTGCTGTTCCCTTTAGCACTGAGGGACAAATCCTCCTGCAAGCCTGGGCTGAAGGGGCAGTAGCAAATAGGAGGATATTGTGAGAGGCACCATAAAGTTGTGCCAAGGCAAAAGGAACATCCAGGCTGAAATTGCCTTCTCCCCTGAGGCTTCTGGGGTTTATTTGAATATCTTCTAAGGGGAAGGGCTGGATCCAAGCCTTGCTAACAGCCAGCATCCTTCACTTCAGGCAAAAAGTCTCTGCTGGTGTGTTCCTTGGCCCCCAGAGCTGGGATTTCAGTGCAGCACTTTGGCTGTGGGCAGGCTGTTGTTGCTGTAAGGATGTGCAACTCTGTGGGTGCTGCTCCCACCTCTGCCTGATGTGTTCTCACAGGGGTGTGTGCCAGGGTCAGGCTGAGCACTCTGAAATTCCCCTCTTTCCCCTCAGCCCCCCTCAACAGGTCAAACTTACCCACACTGCCCCATTTCCTTGGTGTGGGAGGGATTGTCACTCAGCTTGTCTGAGAGCAGCACCACAAAGCCTGGGAAGGGAGGAGGGAATGGAGCTGTTCACCAGGACCTGCTTCTTCTGGTGACACCAGCTGGCAGTTTCTGAAATAATTTTTGCTTTAGCTGCCTCCAAACTCTGTAGAGTTGAGAACTGGAGGAAGCAACTCTGGTCAATTAAAATGGCCGTATAACTTTCATTGACATAATAAAGACTAAGGTAAATTATAAATAATTTTTTAATCCAATAAAATAGGGCGGGATGGGACAGGAATTAACCTCAGCTAAGCAACCATTGTGTTGTACTTCCCTGCTTACTTCAACACATATTTATCCATGCAGTGAGATTTGCTGGCATAGGAATGGTGAGGGAAGAGGGTGATGGCCGTGGGAGTTGGCCTGGCTTGCTCTTTGCTGTCCCAGGCGTGCTGATGGGTGGTACCTCACTGAGGGCCAACCAAAGCTGAACATCTTGTCTTTGTATCTCCTGTCCAGCCCCTCCAAGTCACTCAGTGTGATGAGCAGAGCCCTGTTATCTCTGTTCTCCATCTGTCCCTTCCTCTGTCATCTCCACTATCTCTAATTGTTAACGTCTGGCCTGAGGGATTGCCTCCTAGCACGGTGCTGAGGGCATCTCTCCGTGGGGGATTAGGGCTGCAGTGGATTGACAGGAGGCACTATCCTTGCTGTGGGAAGTTTGCCAGTTGTGTGGGAGCTCTCAGTGCTGCTGCTCTGCCACCTCCTCCAGTTCATGTCAGGACAGGGGCAACACTCACTCAGCTGCCCTGTCAGCGAGCACAGCAGGCCAGCTGTGGGCTGTGCACTGTGTGCTGGCTCTGGGGGAGCCTCCTGCACCCAGTGCTGCACGTGGCCTTTGTCATCACCTTCTGTGTGCTCACCCCACCTGCACCTTCCCATGGAGGGGAGTTCACACCTGCTCGGGTGGATCCCAGTGCGTGGTGGCAGTGGTTTGATGGAGGCTGTGATAACAACACCAGCGCTGGGGGTGCTGCCAGTGGCAGCTGAGATGTCACTTCTCACTGTGTCACATCCCCACGTGGCTGGCTGTGTCTGTAAATCACACCAGTGCTTCCCCGTGGCTTTGCTTTCTCTCACTGCCTCAGCTGCCAGGATTTCCTGGGACACAGTTTTGGCAAAAGCACGGCCTCCTTTCCTTGTGGAGGTACTTGGGATGTCCTTCAGTGCTCTGAAGCGTAGCCAAGGGCCTCGCTAAGCTCCCTGAATCCAGGCTCTGGGAGATTGTATTTCACTGTATTTTACTGGCTCTGCTTGCCTGTATAGTCTGTATTTCTTGCAGTGTCTGCCCAGGGAGCAGGGGAGAATCCCTTGGCACTTCAGAGGCTGAGGATTTCCCCTTACTGGGTTGCTCAGGACTCTGGTTTTCCATGCCCAGGACAGGCTGTGCTTTGAAGGTGTCATACCAGGGAGGGTTTCCATGTGTGTTGGTGCTTTCTACAGCTACAGCAATCGCAAAACAGCCTTCCCCAGTCTAAAGGGAAACCTTTCTATCTGATCCATCTCAGACTTTAAATCTCAAAGATAGCCCAGTAAAAGCAGCAGAGTTTGCACCAAGGGGCTCGATTTTGTGGGCCTCTTGGAGGGAACGTTCAAAGATGTTCACAGGGTTTAGCAGCATTGTTGTATTTACTTATTTGGGTCTGAAAATCCCTCTGGCTGGTATTCCCACGTCCCTTTAAGCAGTTCGAGATGCCGTTTCTTTTGTTTCCTTCATTAAAACTGTTTTTACCCTGGCTCGTGGGGACTGTCCAAGTAGAAATGAAAACACTGCTCGGTGTTTCCTTACCCATCCCATCAGTTCTTCATCCCCAGCTCCTTTCAGCCCCCCCCCCAGCTCTCCCCCCTTCCCTGCTCAGCGTGCCTTGAAGGGCTGGGAAAGCCGGCGCTGGCGCGTTCTGTTGCCCGTCTGATTGTTGTGGGGTTGTGTTTGTGTGGGGAAGGTCACCAGACAAAAAGACCACCAGGCAGGGCTGGCCAGGGGGGGCTCAGGCCCTCTCCATTCAGCCCTTGTGGCAATGGGTGGGAAGAGCCTTGTTTGCATGACAGGATTTCAGGGGGCCACTGCTTTTTGTTTGGGTTTCTTCCACGGCTGCTGAGTGGGCCCTGAAGGGCACAACAAAAGTAGAGCATCTCTGGGAATTCGTGGGGCTGAGGCAAAGGAGGGACTGATCCTGCCCAGCCTGGAGACTCCCAGCAATTCCTCTGGCTGGGCTCTTTGTGTCCTGTCCAACCTTGGCTCTGCTGGCAGCTCTGGATCTTCTGGGCTGGGATCCTGAGTGGGATAAATGCTCTGGAAGTTTTCTATCTGTGGAATGAAGGCTGTAATGCAAGGGCACAGCTCCTGCCACAGTGGCTGCTCTTCCCAGAATATTTTGGAGACTTCCAGCCACTTACTTTTATTTGCAGCATCTGCTCCTGCCCTGCCCATCAGCTCGACACTTTTGAGAGCGTTGTGTTGATTAAACAGCTCTGATTTCCTCATCAGCCCTGAGAGAAGCTGAGCTGTCCCTCCCTGCAGCTCTCCCCTCAGCCCATTCTTAGAAAGCAGCTCTGTCTGTATTTACCACTGGTGTGCACAAAGGCAAACATTGTCAGGGACTCTTTGTAACTGTCCCAATTACCCCGGCTTCATTTGCATAAGAAGATTGACCAGCCTGTGGCAGTGGCATTGCCTTGACTGGCTGATACTCAGATTTGGGGAGCAGGAGAGAACTGCGGGCCCCAGGCTGGCTGTGGCATGGAGAGGAGAGGGCAGTTCTGGCCCCTGCTACAGCAGCCCTTCCTGGAGGGAGGATAACTTGTCAGCTCCCAGCCACTGGCAGCACAAATCTGTCTGATCCAGATGGAATGGCTGCCAGTTCCCCAGAGATGCAAATCCCAGGAACCCCGAGCACGCCTGGCTGTCCCATCTGAGTAAATCCTTCTCCTGCATAGTGTGTGTGTGTTTATGTGTTTATTTTTAGGAGGTGTTGACCCTGCCTGAATGCTTTTGGGCTAAGCAGTGACCTGCCTTGTGTTGTCCCTCCCCTCAGGCACACGTAACCTCTCCTCCCTGTGTTTGGATTTCTTCCAGAGAGCTAGCTGTTCCTGCAGGCAGGCACTAAAGCCAGAGGAGAGCAGCTGGGATGGAGCAGAAGTCAGGAAGCAGGCTGCAATGGTATGATCTCCTGACCCAAAGCAATAGCTAGTGCTGCTAGGACTTGCTTGCACTGCAGCAGCTGCACAGCTCTCACTCCTTTTAGTGAATTGGGAATTACTCATCTTCTCTCCCCCTTCCCCCGCTGCCTCATGTAACTCGATCTCCCGGTGCCCAGGCCGGCAGATGGAAAGCCGAGGCACTGTGCAGTTTGCAGCAGCGGTTCCTCACGGGCTCAGCTGGCCTGTGAGCTGCAGTGTTCAAGCTTTGGCAGAGCAGCCCTTGTGGAGCCCCTTTCTGCCCCTCTGCCGCTGCTGGCTGTGCCTGCACACCCCCACCTCTCCATCTCCCCACACTTGGACATCTTTCCTTGTTGCCCGTGGATATCACCAAGCTTAGCTGCTTCCTGCAGGTGCTTTGACCTTTATCTTCCCCCATCCTTCAACCCCCTCTCCAGGATTTGGCAGCTGGGAGTTGTTGTCAATTAGTTATCAGGTGGCAATACAGCAGTGTGTCATGGAGGGGGCTGCAGCACAGGCAGCTCAGCTCAGCTCCAGAAGTATTTTAAGCTTCTTGCATCCTTGGGTGAGTTACTTTGTCTCTCTGTGAATTGGTGTGGTAATTCATGATTCAGTAATTGGGTGAATTACTTTGCCTGTCTCTCAGTTCAGAAGTGGAACTCCTTAGGAGGTGGTACCACAGTGAATCATAAAGAGCACAAATTACCATTTCACAATGCACTGTGTGCTGGAGACCTCATTGCTAATGGCCAGATCCAAATCTCTGTCCTTATGTCTTTGGACCTCTCTGAGAGGGATTGATAATCCAGTCCAGACTTCTCAGGAATTCCTTTGCTCTTTCTGTGAAGGGTTGGAGGGGGAAGAATCTCGATGTTTTTCTCAGATCAGGTGTTGCTTGTGCTCTGAGTCCAGGACACTCAGGTTGTTTGCCTGAATCACCCTCACTGGTATTGTTACCTTTGCTTGATGCAAAGAACACCAAAAGAAGGGGCAGAGCAGAGCCTCAAGTTGAAGCCCAGACCAGCCCCTCGTGGTTCCTCTGCAAACACTTTAAAGCCAGTTTAATACCAGTTTGTAGGTTTGACTTCCCTGATGTATTGAAAAAGCAAAGTAGGGTCAATCCCTAGATTTAAATTTTCCTTTCCATTGTGTTTGTTTTTTGAGGGGGGTGTCTTGCCTTCTGCTGGGTTTCCATCACCTCTCATTTTAGCCTGTGTGGTAGTGGAGTCTATTTATGAGCAAGCAAAACATGTGCTCCAGATACTGAATTAGCTTTAAAATGGTTGTTCCTGACAAATGTGAAGGGGAATACTGTGATTTAAGGCTGTCCCTTTTAGGCTGAGTCACTGTATCTTTTGCTTTGCAGTTGGGAAATAGTTTTGGCACAGGATCATGGAGGGGTGGCTGATAGACCTGGGAGGATAATGGATACCTTGGCCACCCAAAAGGGATGGCAGTGTATCCACTTTTCAGCTCTGCCAGCGAGGTTCAAGTCAAAGATGTGCCATTTCTGAATGCTTTGCTTTCCCCAGCTGTGCAAAGAGTGGAGGTGAATGAATAATGGAGGAGATCTGGTTGCAATTCCGAAATTCTGGGGAAATTCCCTTTGTTTCTCTTCAGCAAAATATTTATTTGGAGCTGAACCATCTGGGCACTCTGAATAGAAATATAAATGGCAATTTTCTAATGAAACATTTTGGAAAGGGTGATGTCCAGTGGTTTGGCCTTGCAGGATCTGAAGGGACGTCTTACAAACAATCAGTGCTCAGAGCTAAGGCAAATCCTCGGGCAAGTCTTGGCACGAGCGAAATCTCAGGAAATCTCTTGGCTTGGAAAAGTTTTGTTTGGAAAAAGCTTCTCTTGGCTTTTTAAATGGGAGCCAAGCCCTGCAAATAACACTGCTGATAACCAAACCCATGCATAGAAACTGCACCTTGTCCTGTCTTTACAATAATGCTACAGTTGCATCCCTTGGGCTGCCGCTGGTGATTATCCTCCTGCTTATCCCATGGGCTGTTTCCATGTCACTGGCTCAGTTTTGCTACATTCCCTTTGATGGGGGCAGCCTGACCTTTGGGGGCTGCCTTTGGATTTGCTCTGGGTTCATGAGAATTTGCTGTCTGGGAGCAAAGGAGGTGCCCGACGGTGGGGGGATTACTGTGGGACAGGCAACGGTGGCACTGTCTGCTCCAGGCAGCTTTTCTGCTCCTGGATTAAAGTTCACGCTGTGTTACTTGTCTCCCTGTCTAAGGCCCTGTCAAGTCCATGTGGGAAGCTGTTCTGTCTGCAGTGTTTCACTTTGTGCCGCTCAGCTCTCTCCCTGCCTCATCTCTCCCCCTCTCTCCCCTTCCATTCAAGCGGCATCTTTCAGCCTTCCCCATTCAGGTCTGTCTTTGCTCTCTGCCCTGTGTAAAACTGCCGTGCCCTCCCCACCATTCATCACCTCCAGCTCATTCACCTCCCTGCTTGCCTTGCTCCATTCATCTGGGCTTCCTCCCAGCCAGCCTGGGCTGCCCTTTCCTCCTGCCCCTTCCCCACTCCTCCCTTTGTGCCCCTGCACTCCCTCCTGGGGGACCATCCGTGCTCAGCAGTCAGCAGTGTGCTCTGGGAGGATGCTCTGCTAGAAGTTGGCCCCACTTGATGGGCTGATTAATCCCCAGTGGAAGCCTGGTGGGACTGTTTGGGGTGGATTTGTCTCTCTAGTTACCTTGCAGGTGAGAAGACTTTTTTTTTTTCCCCACTCTCTCACACTTCCCAGCTTGATGCACAGGAATAGGAAGAGGTTTGTGATTCCCTGACCTTCCTGTTCAGTCTGTTTCTGTCTCTCCCTCCTGGCTTTTTTCCCCTCTGTTTGCAGCAGTTGCAGCTCTCAGGTGACTCTTTGCAGAGGTTGTTTTGCTTTCCTCATTCCTGAGGAACATAACATGAATACTCTTAATTTTGCTGGCTCCTTAATTCTGGTTGTTGCCTGTGTCTTCCCTGCTTCCTTCTTTTAAATCACCTACACTGAGGCTGTATCAGTTTTGGAAACCCATCTCTGCACTTGAATGTGTGTTTTAAGTGTTGCCCCGGAAATAGAGCTTGTGAATTGGAGTAGCCAGGGCTTGTTGTTTGTCAGTGCAGCCACAACCCTGTGCTTGTGATGCAGACCCAGGAAATGTGGACCAGAGGCCTCTGCCAGAGCTCCCTTGGCCTGCAGGGAATGGGCTGGGCTTTGGGTGCCCGTGGGGGACTGCAGCTCTGGGGGGTTAAACTGCACCCAAACCAGGCTGTTCAAGCAAAAGGGCAAGAGCAGAGCTTGGGAAGAGTGGCTGGACAGGCCTGTGGGAGGAACAGGAGCTCTGAAAGCCTGGCTGAGCCCTGCACACGTGGGAAATGTGAGCAGAGCAGGAATGAGGTGGAGAGGGGCAAGGGCTGTGTGAGTGAGTGCAGGTCTGACTGACAGCACGAGCTCTGTTGGGTGGGAGGCTGTGACGGGACTATCTACTGTCTGCTGAGGGTAAGAGGAGCTCCTGATACAGCCCAGGCAGGGCCAGGCTCTGTGAGCACCTGCCAGTCCTGTGAGGAGCACCCTTTTCCCTGATAAGTGTCTCAAAGAGGGATTGCAAACCCCGCTGTGGTTTTTTGTCAGGGTTTATTAAAAGGGATTCTCTCCTCGTTGTGTTTGGGCCCCACAGACACATTGCACTTGCAGGGCACAGCCAGCCCTGCATTGGTCACCTGCAGGGAGAGCTGCTGTGCTCCAGCAAGGCTTGGGCTGGGAACCCTGCATGGACAGCACTTCTTCCTAAGAAGGGAGTTGCATTCCTGTTGTGGAGTTTATTAAGTAGTGATTTGCTTTAAAACTTCAGATGCATTTTCTGCCTGTTTGAAAACTTGTGGCAGACACAAGTCTATAAACACTGTGCCTTGTATCCACCAAGAGCAGATGAAAATCCAAAATGCACCTTGATTTTTCTGATTTGTGGCTCTGCAACTTTGGCACTTGGACAAATCTCTTCTACCCTTAGACCAAAGTATATTTGACACAGCAGACTCTGGGAAAGTGCAAACACTGCAGAAATGAGCAATGCAGCCCTGCATGCAGGGAACCTGCAGTCTGGGTGTCATCCAGGGCTCGTTTGGATAGATCTCCTAAGGAGCAATGCAAAGCACCACAGCCTCCAGCAGTCTGGCTCCTTTGTGCTGCTGTAACCCCTGTGATCACCCTGCGAAGATACAAGCCAGGATTTCTTGCTCCGTGGTACCTTTGGGATGGTTCTGTGGTGTCCCTGTAACACCAGGTGCCTTCGAGGCAACCATGGGATGCCTCTGCCTCCCCCTCACAGGGCTGACATTGCCTCCTGTTCCAGTTCAGCTTGGAGAAGAGAGGAGTTTCTCTGCAGCTTCTGGTCCCCTTGGCTGAGTAAAGCCAGTTGTAAGACCAGTAGGAGGTAAATACATTTCCCAATCTGTTTAATAAGAGTTCTGCTCTGTGGCTGTTGCTCCAAGCAGAAGCATGGTTTGATCTCCAGTAGAGGTGGGTCATTGTGGCTGTACCTGTGCTGGGGCACTTGTTAGGTGGGGCTTTAAGGGATCTGTTTGGCTCGAGTTTCTCTGAGCCCCAAGAGCTGCAGTCAGGTCAGAAGGGAGCTCTTGGGGTCATCCACTCTCTCGTAATAAAGGCTGGGTTTTCTGAGTGATCCTCTGCCTGACCTCAGCCATTCCTCATCTCCCAGAAAAACTCGAAATTCAACTGTAAAACTTTTAGAGAGACATTTCATTAGTTAATAGTAAAAAATAATCAACTTCCTCTAATCTAAAGTTCTGACCTCTGCGACCTTTGTCTCAGAGGAGGTTCCTGTTCTGCCAATTTTCTGTTACTCTGGGCAGTGATCAAGTCCCTGCTTTACCTTCCCTTTCCCGAGATGATGAATTGAGCCTGTCAGTGCAGTCAGTCAGACTGGACCAGTCACCGAGTGCACCTCATTTACAACCCTGCCCGGTTCCTTTTCTGCAGGC